AAAAAAAAAAAAAAAAAAAAAAAACACAGAAAACAAAAAAAGATCCTTAGTTTAGGCTTGCACTAACCAAAGTTGTATTTCCAGCTGGTTTTACTTGACTGTGAATGTTTAGATATAAAAATCTTAGTATTTCACCAAATGTTCTCATCATTAGTATATTGGTGAGATTTCAAAATGTAAACTATTTTGGTTTAATTTATCAACTACTAAACTAATAAAGTAAAATCAATACAGCAGAAAAGTGATGCACTAGATCTAAATGTATAAAATTAGTATCAGTATCTCTCTAAACATTATATTTCTCCTTTAATTTTCTCAATTTATCTACCATTTTAACTAAATCTCAGACTTAAGTAAGATACTTAATATAACACAAAAATTTTTAAAAATAGTAGAGATTATGATTTCTTCTGTCAAACTTTCTCTATATGCAAAAAATCAGAGACTTAAACAATGACAGTTAATAATAACAATCTGACATCAAGTGACGAATAATTGTTACTTCATAAAATTCCCACAACAAACCTATTTAATAGGTGGTATAATCCCCACTATGAACTGGTCTTGACCAAGTTAGTTTTCCTAGATTACACAGTTCTAAATTATGGTGCCAGAATTCACACTAAAGTCAACCTGGTTGCAAAACTCATTCCCTAACCCTTCCTCTGAAGTTCTAAATTAAATCACAGTCCTAGCATTTTTCTCATAGATTCGATCAGACTGCGAATCAAACCAGAAGATTACTTATCGAATCTCTGGGGTAGGGATTGACCGACCGCCATTTGGAGTGTTCACTATTAATCCACGCACTGGGGAAATTAACATCACTTCAGTGGTGGACAGAGAGATAACTCCACTTTTCTTGGTAAGTCATAGCTGTGTGTCTTAAATTATTCATAATAGTTTTCCTCTCTTTAAAAAAAAAACACCTCAGAACTATGGCTTACTTTTGATAAAGCATAGTAGACTGAAACCAAATAAGGGCTTGAAGGGACAGAAAGAGTGTGAAAATAGAAGTTTATAGTTCAGGATTCTGGTGTGTTACATGTGCATGTGATCAGGTGTCTTGATAATATTTAAATTATTAGACTGTAATATAGTCTTAATTCACTGGAAAAATTGTGGGGGTTTTGCGTATTTTCTAGCATGTTACTTAAATTCCTTTGGTGGAGAAAGAAAGTTTTGCTTTTTGTTTTTTGAGTTTTTTGTCTTCAATTTTCCACAGATCTATTGTCGGGCTCTGAATTCGAGGGGTGAAGATTTAGAAAGACCTCTTGAACTTAGAGTCAAAGTTATGGATGTAAATGACAACCCTCCAGTCTTTTCACAAAATGTGTACACTGCCAGCATTGAAGAAAACAGTGATGCAAGTAGGTAGAATGACACTCCTTCCTTGTACCATAGTATATCAACTTCTCTTGGTCAAAAGCTTTAGAAGATTGAAATACAGGTAGTTTAAAGACTAGAAAAAATCACACGTATTTTTAATAAACCTCACAAATTCTAACTTAGCTGGAAAAAAATTATGTCTAAGATGCTAAATATCCTCCTATCTGTAGAAGATTCTTCTTTCATTTTTTCGCTTAAACAAGAGACATTTATTACTTACAGTTCTGGAGGCTGGGAAAACAAAAGTTAAGGTGTCGGCAGATTCTGTTTCTGGTGAGGGCTTTCTTTCTGGCTTCCAGACAGCCATCTTCTTGCCGTAGCAGACAGAAAAAGATCTCTGTGAAAGGTTCTTATACATACAAGTGATTTAGCAGGTGCATGGCGCCTACCTCAGAGATTGTTGCTGGCCGCATGAACAACTTAACAACCATGAGCAAACTGGGGAAGAAACCATGAATACTACCAAAAAAAACCTCTGGTCTCTGAACCACACCAGGTGGAGAGTGACTGTGTATGCATGTGCAATCGAACCCATTAGAGCAATCACTGAGGGTAATCATCTGTCTTGATAGGCTACACAGCAAGTTACATTACGGTCTCTCATTTTTTTCATGTCTTCTCATCCTGTTTAATTCCACTTCCACCTCTAACACTCTTCTGTCCTTCCTTCTTCGTATGAGCTCTCCTGAGCTACTTTCCTTCCTACTCTTATGCTTTTCCTACACTGATACTTTCCTCTCTCTCTTTTCTTTTTGCCTTCAGCCTTTTTCTTCTCAGTTCTCTAATATCTCTCTCCCTTTCGAATCTATGTCTGTCCATATATCTCTCAGCACATTTGAAGGAAAATGATAGAAAAAATGAATTTCAGAAGAAAGGCAAATAAACACAAAATGTTTTTTAGCTAGGATGCTCTCACCCTAGAGAGGCAAAGAAAAGGTTTTTGTCTAAGAGAGGCAAAACAGAGACAGAGACTCGAAAGTCCACTTTACTTCCTCACTAACATACCTCGGGACAATGTTGATAAAGGAAGAGAAGGGAAAACCCACTAGCAAGTTCTCTCAGTAACTGATTATCAATTAAAATTTCCCCACATGAGGATAGTTTCTGAACAAATGAATACAAGATCCGGGCACAATTTCATAAACTATGAATTTTATGAATCCTGGCTCTGTCTATTCAAAAGCCCCTGCTTCTCTGTGATAGGATTTTGCACTTTTAGGCTTGGCAGGGAAGAAAAAGAATATCAGGAAACGCCCATTCTGTCCTGTGGACTGATATCCTTGGGGACTGGCCTAGGATGCCAGTTCTTGATCTCTGTGAACAATTAAGAACTTCATATATTCCCATGGACAAGTCTTCTTTTCCATAATTATATATTTTGCCTGTTTGGCAAAGTGCTGTTATCTTCCAATGCAACCAATAGTAATTCTCTGCTTTCTGGATGAGTCACAATTTAAAATACAGGTGCTCAATAAGTAATTGCAATGTTGAATTCAATTAAGCTATAATCCTTCATAATTAAGCATTTCAAAATAATTTCACATGACCACAGCAAAAAACAAAATTCATTTCTGCAGCTTTATGATAAAGAATCTATTGAACATTTTTCATATATTAAAGAGCTCTATATTTTGCTGCTAATTTAGCATTTAATCATTTAAGGAGTACAAGTACTTTATAAACAGTAAAAGATACTATAGGCCGGGCTCAGTTGCTTAGCCTGTAATCCCAGCACTTTGGGAGGCCAAGGCTAGTGGTAGCCTGGGTCTGCGGGTTCGAGACCAGCCAGGACAACTTGGTGAGACCTCATCTCTACAATAAATCAAAAATTAGCCGAGCATGGTAGTGTGCACCTGTAGTTCCAGCTACTTGGAAGGCTGGGGCGGAAGGATCGCGGGAGCCCAGCAGGTCGACACTGGTGTGCCGGTGAGCGTGCCACTGCACTCCAGCCTGGGCAACACGGTGAGACTCCAACTCAAAAAAAAAAAAAAAAAAAGATTCTATAGAAACAAACTGCCACTATTTTTGTAATCACTGGTATAGCTAAAAGTTATGGTGATATATTCTCATGGGAAACTCAAGCGGAGAATTCAGGAGAAAGCCAATTACTTGTTCTTCTTATGCCTAATGAATTACTGAATTAATTCTAAAAAGGTCCCAACTATTCCCTACCTCCATTTTCATTTCTAGATACACTAGTAGTAAAGTTAAGTGCCACAGATGCGGATGAAGAAAATCATCTAAATTCTAAAATTGCCTACAAGATAATCTCTCAGGAACCTGCAGGTGCACCAATGTTCATTCTGAACAGGTACACGGGAGAAGTCCGCACCATGTCCAGTTTCCTTGACAGAGAGGTAAAGCCTTCAATGAATGCATGATAAGAAACTTTTAAAAATTCAGCTTTGAAAACACAAAGATGAGGTGATCCATGTTTGTCCTTACTTCAATATAAAGGTGGAAAGAAAATTAATCCATTTTTTTAAATGGTAGCTTTCTTTTTTAATTTTTTAATTTTAAAAATGTGGAGTACAATTCAGGGTTAGATATGCAAATAGTCATTGTACAGGTAAAGTCTGGGTTTAACTTTGGTCCCCACTTCACCTGGTTTGAGATCAAGTACCCTTATAGATGAAATGTGTCCCTTCCTCCCTCCCCTGGCAGTTTCCCACTACCGCCAATCCCTTTCTTATAGTATTATAATAATTGTTTAGGGTCAGCTTATGAGTGAGAACATGTGGTACTCAGTTCTTTGTTTCTGTGATAGATCACTGAGTATGATGGACTCTAAGTCCATCCAAGTTACTACAGAGTTCACAATTTTGTCCTTCTTATGACTGCATAATATTCCATCATGTATATGTACCACGCTTTTTAATTCAGTCCTCTTTCAGTGGACAGCACAGTTGATTCCATGTTTTTGCTATTATGAATAATACTGCAATAAACACATGTGTGTAGGTATCTTTTTCATAGAGTAGTTTGAGTTCCTCCTGGTATATTCCGAGAAGGGGGATTGCTGAGTCATATGGAAGGCCATTTTTTAGATCTTTTAGGAATTACCACACTGCTTTCCACAGCAGTTATACTGGTTTACACTCCCACCAACAGTGTAGAAGTGTTCCCTTTTCCCTGAAAATTTATTAATAAAAATAAAAAGCTCAATTATATAGATTTCATTTGATATGTAAATAAAAGAGGAATAATGGCATTGGATATGTTGGCCTCTAGTCAAGACAAGACCTAAGTCTTACAATTCTTTTTCATCTTGATTAAGCAATACAGTATGTACAACCTACTTGTGAGAGGCTCAGATCGGGATGGAGCTACAGATGGGCTGTCTTCTGAGTGTGACTGTAGAATCAAAGTTTTAGATGTCAATGATAATTTCCCCACCTTAGAGAAAACTTCGGTAAGTTGGTATTCTTATAATTATTTCCCCATAGGTGCTAAGAATCAATTTGCTTTCACGTTAGCTCATGAGTCTGGTTCTGTTACACATATGGAAGCACTCAGCTTAGTTGTATAAACCTTGAAATTTCTCATCTATAACAATACACCTTTATATTGTGTATTTGTAACTCACTACTCGAAACAGCCCTTCTCTGTGAAAGCAACCAACTATCAATATCTACTCCTATTCTTAAAAATGTGGAAACCTATTGCTATCACTCTGAGAATAACATAACAACATTGATGTATTTTTACATGCCTCATGATTTGCTGAACAAATTCTTCTAGAGTCCCAGATGTTCTCAATTTCCATTTTCATCTATAGGCATAAAGAAGCATAAAATCCAAACTAGCAGGGCCAATTCTGGCTTACTGCCCGTTTGGGGAAAAATAAGTATTATTGGACCATAGCTGTGCTCATTGCCTTTGCAGGTTGTCTATGGGGGTTTTGTGCTACAGCAGCAGAGATGAGGGATTGCAACAGAGACTCGCAAAGCCTACGAAGCCTGATATATTTACTATTTGGTTGTTTATATTTTTAAAAATCAGATTCTTTATCTAAAAGAAAAAGTAAAAGAAATTAAAAATAAACAAAAACTAAATTAAAACAAGGTGCCAGTTTGATCTTGATTTCACATATAGGACAGAAAATTCAGTTTTATCTTAAAATTATTTTATTCTTATATTTGTGATTGAACATATGGCATTTAATAATAGTGCCAGAATTACTGACATAACTTGTTAGTATTTTAAATGATAATTATGTATTAGTACATGTATTTCTTCTTTTGAAAATTCATTGATTATAACATTGATCTATGTCATTTCAGTACTCAGCAAGTATTGAAGAGAATTGTTTAAGTTCAGAACTGATACGATTACAGGCGATTGATCTTGATGAAGAAGGCACTGATAATTGGTTGGCAAAATATTTAATCCTCTCTGGAAATGATGGGAATTGGTTCGATATTCAAACAGACCCACAAACCAATGAAGGCATTTTGAAAGTGGTCAAGGTACAGTATAGGATCTGTAAGATTTTCTTCCAAGAAGTTTTAAATAATCTGCTTAACAAAAAAGTACCCCATAACCTTGAATATTACTTATTATTGGTAAGTGTTTTCTGTAACCTGCGTTATCTGAGCCTTCCAGGTGGCAATACAATATTTATTACCAAGGAAAATAAGAAGGCTGTTCTGTTCTCACAGTGTCCGATATCTAGTTGAGAAGATAAAGTCAGTATGCCCAAGTTAGATAATGTATGAGAGTTAACAATAAAGTGAATATTAGCACAGATGTCATGCTGTAAAACACAACTAATTGCCAAATGGGTGAAATGTGAAATGATGAATGAGATAAGATAAGGTGAGATCCTTCTGAGCTAGATTGTTTTATTTTTTATTTTTGAGTTGGAGTCTCACTCTGTCGCCCAGACTGGAGTGCAGCGGCCGCTCCTGGCCACCCTAGCCTCGACCTGCTGGGCTCCGGCGATCCTTCCGCCTCAGCCTTCCAAGTAGCTGGAACGACAGGCGTGTGCTACCACACCGGGCTAATTTTTTGATTTATTGTAGAGATGAGATCTCACCAAGTTGCCCAGGCGGGTCTCAAACTCGCAGACTCAGGCAATTCACTCACCTCGGCCTCCCAAAGCGCGGGATTACAGGCTGAGCCACCGAGCCCGGCCTCTTCTGAGCTAGATTTATCTGAAAGGGTTTCATGCAGGGAATAAGGCTTAAATAAGACCTTCAAACTGAAATCACTTGTGTAGGTAATGATTGAGCAACACATTGAGATGAAAAAATAAAAAGTATGTTCAGGACATGGCAGAGTAGCAAGAACAGAAAGGTTGAGTTCGAAGCAATCAGCAGAGAACCTTGAACACAGGGTTCAATTTTTTTCTTATAGATTAATTTTTGTTAAACAGCTTGTTTTTACTTAATGGACAATAATAAAACCCAATAAATAGGCCAGGCACAGTGGCTCACACCTGTAATTCCAACATTTTGGGAGGCTGAGGTGGGAGGATTGCTTGAGCCCAAAAGTTTGAGACCAGTCTGGGCAACATAGCAAGACCTCAACTTTACAAAAAAATCAAAAATTAGCCAAGCATGGTGGTGTGCACCTGTTATCCCATCTACTCAGGAGGCTGAGGTAGAAGGATCGCCTGAGCTCAGGAGGTCAGGTATATAGTGAGCTGTGATCATGTCACTGTACTCCAACGTGGATGACAGAGTGAGATCCCAACTTGAAAAAAATAAATAAAATAAAATCTAAAAATCTGAAATTCAAACCAAATAAAGCCACAAAACAATAAGATTCAAATTAACATTAATGTAATGAGCTTATAACCAAAATTATGAAAAAAGTCTATATATAAGATTGTCATTCAAATGAAAACAAAAAAATTATAAATTTCTTAAGACAACTTAAGGACTCAAAGAATATACCATGGTCTTTCTGTTTGAGAAACATTGCCTTGGTCCAGAGGTCAGCAAACTATGGCCCACAGGTCAGTCTGACCTGTTCCCTGTTTTATAAATTAAGCTTTATTGAAACACAGCCACATTCGTGCATTTATTTATTTTCTATAGCTGTTTCCACACTCCAGTGGTTAAGTTTAATACTTGAGACAGAAACTGTATATGACCCCCAAAGCCTAAAATATTTACCACTTGGCCCTTAACCAAAAAAAGTTTTCCAACCCCTACTAATAGACCAAGAAAAGCTTTGGAATATTTTTTAAAACAACAATAACATCATGAGCTCAACTCTGTAAAGAATAAAATTTTGAAAATAATTATGCGAAGTCCTGAGGTAATAAGAATCCTATTTAAGTCAATAGTAATAAAAATGGAAATAAGGGAATGGGTATAGAGTCATTGCCAAACACAACATGGAGAGGAATAGAGAAACAGGATATCGAATTCTGAATATGTAGTCAGATTCTTTCAGGGGATAAGAATTTGTTTAGCCTTGTATCCTGTTTAATAATCAAGATCTTGATTGGTCATGCAATTCTTACCTATCTCACCATCTTAATCATTGACTTTACATATTATCTTTTTTTTTTTTTTTTGAGTTGGAGTCTCACTCTGTCGTGCAGGCTGTAGTGCAGTGGCACGCTCATGGCCACCCCAGTGTCAACCTGCTGGCCTCAGGCAATCCTTCCGCCTCAGCCTTTCAAGTAGCCTGAACTACAGGCACATGCTACCACACCTGGCTAACTTCTTGATTTATTGTAGAGATGAGGTCTAGCCAAGTTACCCAGGCCATTCTTGAACCCGTGGGTTCAAGCAATTCCTTCACTTCAGCCTCCCAAATGCATACCATCTTATATGTAACTGTTCTTTGCTTTTGTTCTATTGCCCAACCTATTTAAATAATAGTAGAAACTTTACACATAAACAACTTGACCTAAATGTCTTTCAATCCCTGGCACCTGATTCAGTGTCCAGAAGATACTAGACTCACAAAACTTCAAGGATGGTGTTGATAAAGACGTTTATCTCAAACAATGGTGTAGATCTCACCCAAATAGGAGTCACTGAACTCAATGGTATCATTCAAAATTTCTGCATAAATTTATGAAAATAAAAAAAGAAAACATATTAATAACGCACATGATGTACTTTCTATGACTTATATAATGTGTCTTCTGTAATAACTAAAAGTTGTTTAAAGATATACTTGCTTAATTGCCCAAAAAGCTATTAAAGTATCAATTTCATGAAAAATTGGTCAAGGTAGTGTTAGATGTGTAGACAAAGTCCATACCTATTTTTTTCTGAATTGATGACTTTTTAAGTCTCTTAAAGAGAACAAGAAAAACACTTTAAAACATCAGAATAACAGGGGTAGCCTAATTAAAATGAAATTTAAAGCCTTGCTGCGTGTTAGTAACTAGCCAAAATAACTATCTATTTTAGGGAACTATGTAATTTCCCTAGCTCTGGCATTTTCAACAGCCAGAGGTCAGCATTTAGAATGAGATTATAATGTTTCCTTGCGAGCTCTCTCTATTTTCATTCCAACCACCACTTGTGGAAATTCGCCCATCAGGAATGGGCTTTTGTTTAAACTATTTGTTTGTTTGTTTTGCTTTTTATTTTTGAGACAGGGTCTAGCTCTGTTGCCTAGACTGGAATGCAGTGGTACAGTCATAGTTCACTGCAGCCTCAAACTCCTGGGATCCAGTACTCCCCACTCAGTTTTGGAGTAGCTTGGACTTAGAGGCTCACCCCACCATACCTGGCTAATTATTTTTGTCTCACTGGGTTGCTTAGGCTGGTCTTGAACTCGCACCTTCAAGCAGTCCTCCCACCTCGGCCTCCTAAAGTGCTGGGATTACAGGTGTGAGCCACCACATCTGGCCTTGACTAAGCTTTATATAACCTTTTTCTTAGTCTGAAGACATGACAAATGACCCAATTCAACAAAAATTTGAGAACTGCTACGTGCTACAGATATGAAGGTGAATGAGATATGGTCCCTGTTCTCAAGGATCTTACAGTCTAACAAGAAAATCTCTGAGAGTAAATTGAAAATCTATTTATCAGTAACAATCTCCCTTTGGTATTTACTGATAAATGCATATGAAAATACAAATAATATAAATATATGTGTATATATATACATTCACTTCAACACTGAGAGGAAAGCAAAATGCTACCCAACTGGAATTCTAGCAAAGAAATATTGGTTTTCCCTTTCTATAATAATTCTAACTAACATTTATTAAGTAATTACTAAACACCAACTATGGTGTTATATTGTGTATATAGAGGTCTTGCATATATTATCTCATTTAATCCTCACAACTCTGCAAAGAAAATATAGTGATTGCTTTTATATAGAAAGAGTGACAACTTTGGGAGGATGAGATGGGAAGATGACTTCAGCCTAGGAGTTTGAGACCACCCTGGGCAACACAGTGAGACCTCATTTCTACAAAAAAAATTTTTTTTGAAATTAGTCAGGCATGGTGGCACATGCCTGTAGTCCTAGCTACTTGGGAGACTGAGGCAGAAGGATTGCCTGAGCTCAAGAAGGCAAGGCTGCAGTGAGTTGTGATGGTGCCACTGCACTCCAGACTGGACAACGGAGCAATACCCTGACTCAAAAAGTAAAAAAGGAACGTAAAACAAAATCAAAGGGAAAACTAGCTAGTCTCAGTTCAACCAGGTGGCAAAGGACAAAGACAAGATCCATCAGATCTCTCTGATCTCAAAGTCACATTTAACTGCCTCCTCTGTGTCTCACTGTGTCATCTGGGGCCAGCAAGACAGGTTCTAGCAAAAGAATTGGCACCCTGAGATTTTTCCCTTGGAGTCTGTTCTCTTGCTTCTCTGTGCTCTGCTGGTCTCTTCAAGACACATTTTTACCAGAAAATGTGCCTTCCTGGAAAGCCAGTCATACACACCTGGCAGATATTTGACCATTCCCTCAGCCCTCTGCTATAGAAAATCTGCTATCCTATATGCCTTTTGGGTAAAGACTTCTAACCTCCTCCCATATTAATTTAGACCAAAAAGCTGGATATGAAAATCTAACAGCATTGCTTCTATACTAAATTGACTGATGCCCAAACCTGCCAGAAGCCAAATCCATTTCTGGAAGGGTTGTCCTCCTCCTAGACCCTTTCAGAGCCTTGCTCTAGGTCCCTGCAGGCCAGGCCCCACCCATTCTAACACACCTACCATACCCTTGTTACGTGGTTATTCCTCATTAGTGTGTTAAACTGCAGAGACCAAGTTTTTCCAGTACCTCCCTTCACTCTAAAAAGAGACTTAAGGGCACATAATTGTTTTTATTGCTCTTTACAAACCCCTGATCTCTGGGCAAAATTAGAAAATCCTTGATAAAGGGTCCCACTTACAAAGAAGGAATGAGCGACTTTTTGCCTTTCCTCTACATGTCTTTTGTAATCTTCTCTCCTATTGGAAAGATTAGTCCTCAACCAATTTTCTGTTCCTAGTATGTGAATATGTTTAATTAATACAACCTTAGACACGCTAATATAATTTTGTCATACGTCGTTCGATTGGCAGAGAACTAGTCTGACAAACAAAAGTACATCTGTGTGTATGAATAAGAAGATGCCAGGAGGCTTCTCTACCAGAATAGAGGTTCTCAGATGTGTTTGTTTGAAGACAGCATGGAATTCTAGAAAATAAAGACTGACTTATAGAAGGGACATCTCTTCCCACTGAAATTCATTTTTAGTACATAATTCATATTCAACTCTGTGCTAGGGACCATGTGGACTGGTCCATTATGTGGATGAGCAGACCATGTATTATGTGGACATCTGTGAACAGATATGCAAAAGCAATAAAAGTCCTAAACCTCAGGGATTTGAGCTGAAATTCAAGTGATTCATGCTGGGCCATCTCCAAACAAAAAACCCCCAAACCCAAGTAAATTCCTGCAAATATATTTGTCTTATCAGTTTTTCTGAAAAATTCTATTTTTTTTTTTGAATCAGTGTCTCACTCTGTTGCCCAGGCTGGAGTGTAGTGGCACTATCACTGCTCACTGCAGCCTCTGACATCTGGGCTCAAGCGATCCTCCAACCTCAGTCTCCTGAGTAGCTGGGACTATAGGAGGGTGCCACCATGCCCAGCTAATTTTTTTTTCTTTTTTAAAAATTTTTTTCCTTTTTGTAGAGACAAGATCTCTATGTTGTCTCAGCTGGTCTCCAACTTCTGGGCTCAAACAATCCTTTCATCTCAACCTCCTAAAGTGCTGGGATTACAGGCATACGCCACATGCCCAACCTGAAAAATTCAATTCTAAAAGCTAAAAAGAAATTCATGACGTCATGGAATTTCCCTGGGATGCAGAGATTTATCTCAGAGTCTTGGTGATATCTTGATTTCTGTTGGTAAATGTGTTGCAAGTGATGCTTACATTTGCTTCCGAACACTTCTAAGCAGACTGCCCAGCCTTTCTTTTTTTACAACTGCTTTTTCACCTATGACTTATCATGTCACCACATCAATCATTCTAGATCAAAAGATTCCATGTATTTTTTTATCCAGGAAACCCATTTCAAAGATGAATTCTTCTAGGCATGACATTTACTTATTAGAATGTGTCCTATAAAGAAGTCTTCTCGTCCACCAAACCCAGCACTATTAATTATAGTCTAGGGCTGACTATAATAATTAAAAATTCTTTAGAAGTTGTTTATATCATTTTAAAAATAATTACATGTTCATGACATCATATATATATTGGCTCCTATATTCTGCTGATTATGTTTTCAAGAGATTCTCAGTGCGAATTCTATAAAGTAAATCTGGATCTTATTTATTTATTCATTCAATAGCTGTGAACTTTTTTATTTCATTTAAAATTTATTTTTTTCATAACCATCTCACTTGGAAAGAAATATCATTTTTCATTTTAGTACTTTTATATAAGAAGTTTAAAGCTCCAAAATTTGATTCCAATTTAAAATCACAGGTTTAAATGACCTACGTTCCTGATAATGGCAAAAAAAATCACATATCTAAAATACCCAAGACATTAATAAGTAAAATTTTTCAATTCAAAATCTAAATCATATAGTTCCTGGGCTTTATTCTGGTGTGTGGCTTGCTTACCATGGCTTCTTACTCTATCAAAAGAATCCTCTACTGCTTCAGTTTTTTTTTGTTTTTTTTTTTTACTTTCTATCATTTCAGATGCTGGATTATGAACAAGCACCTAATATTGATCTCAGTATTGGAGTTAAAAACCAAGCTGATTTTCACCACTCAGTTGCTTCTCAATTCCGAATGCATGCAACCCCCGTGAGAATTCAGGTTATTAATGTGAGGGAAGGACCCACATTCCATCCAAATTCTATGACTTTTAGTGTGCGGGAAGGAATAAAAGGAAATTCCTTACTGAATTATGTACTTGGCACATACACAGCCGTAGATTTGGACACAGGAAATCCTGCAACAAATGTCAGGTACTGGAAACACTGTTCATGTTAGTGTGACATGGTTCTGCTCAGCTAGTACATGTGGGTTTTAACACGTTTGGAGTTTTGTTTTGCTTTTCTTACTTGTTCGTTTTAGAAGACTATTACGGCATTTGCAATCTTAGAATTTTACTAGTGTTGTAGAGACTGCAAAGGGCTCCAATTGGTTATAAAAGTAATTATGTCCGGGGAGCAAGTCTAAGATCAAAGAGTCACCTAAATTACTCTAAAAGTCTCTTTGATCTTTTGTGGTCAATTTGTACCATCCTGGACCTGAACTGATTAAGCTATATTGTAGACCATAAGACATCATAAAAGTTGAGTCACTGCTTGTTTACTTCAACCTGTGTTATCTCTGACTTTGAGACTAGTTTCCACCCTCTGCTTAACCTAAAAGGAAAAAACCAGTGGAAGAGGCTAAAAATTGGTGTTTTAGAAATTTGATAAGCATAAAGAGAGTCAGAACAGGAGAAACAGAAGGGCAGGCATTAGGGACACTAGGTGCATAGATTACACATGAATTAGAATTATGTAAGATATTCCGGAAGTTGTACCCCACAAAACCATAATAAAAAATACTGATTAATGAAAAAAAAAAAAGATATTCTGGAAGTAACTACAGTGAAATGTATAGATCTTCTCTGTAGCCTTCCCTTCTCCATCTCCTTTTCTTTCAATATTTTTGGAGTAAACAGTCTATTAACTTATAATTTACTTGATGTTAAAGGTTTTTGTTGTTTTTATTTTTTTTTTGAGTTGGAGTCTCACTCTGTTGCCCAGACTGGAGTGTAGTGGCCGCTTCCGGCCACTGCAGCCTCGACCTGCTGGGCTCCGGCCATCCTTCCGTCTCAGCCTTCCGAGTAGCCAGAATTACAGGTGCACACTATCACGCCTGGCTAATTTTTTTTTGAATTATTGTAGAGATGAGGTCTCGCCAAGTTGCCCAGGCGGGTCTCGAACCCACGGGATCAGGCAATCCACTCACCTCAGCCTCCCAAAGCGCGGGAATACAGGCTGAGCCACCGAGCCCGGCTGATGTTAAAGGTTTTAATTATCAGGTCAGCTAACAAGTTGACAGACTCAAAAAAATTATGAAGTCTGTCAGTGTGGAGTAGTGGAAAAGGATGTTCAATAAAAGAGCTGATGACTTGAAATCTTGCATGGTAGAGACAAGATCTTCTTCCAGTCAGGTAAAGCACTTTAAATCCATTATCTGTTGCAAGACCCAGATAGACCTGCTGAAACAGAGGATATCACAAGCCTCTGAACAGGCAATCAGTGAGGATCTCTGAAACCAATATGCCTGAAAATGTACAAGAAGCATCCTGAGTATGCCACACATGAAAATAAATAAGCAGTATTCGTTTTGAAAATTAATAAAAATATTTGATGATGCTATGATTTAATAAATAGACCTGAAATAAACATGCATTTATTATCAATTATATTAAGAGGTAGAAGAGTAAGAATGAAACTGTTATGATGTGAATCTGTACATTAATATATTACTGAATTTTTATTGCTATATACATTTTATAAACCAAGACAATTATCATTACAAAACACAATATATATTTACCACATTGCAGATCTTAGGTAATTCTAAAGTACTAACTTTCATAAAAGGATAATGATGAACTCTTTTATTTTAAAACAGGTATATCATTGGGCATGATGCAGGCAGGTGGCTAAAAGTTGATTCAAGGACTGGTGAAATACAATTTTCTAGGGAATTTGACAAGAAGTCAAAATATATTACCAATGGAATATACACAGCAGAGATCCTGGCTGTAGATGGTAAGAAAATCTATTTTCAGTATTTTAACAAAATGATTACTATTTTATTAAATGTTATAAATATGACTATAATGCTGATATTTGAGTGACTCAAAATTTATCTTTTAATGGTGTACACAAGACTTATGAGAAGCTCTAAACTAGATCAAGAACTGAATTCAATTACACTTGCAACCATAATTTACTCGTAAGCCATAATTTATTTCACCTACTTCCAAAAAAGAATTATATGTGGCTTACCGCATAAAAACTAAAATATATATAAATAATCTCTGTTTATAACCTAATATCTTGAGTATAGCTAATCCCACTTGTAGAGTATGTCAGAAATTTTACTTAAAGCAAGTGTTACAAGCTGTGCACAAAGTTCATCATGCGATGACCTGAGGTGCAGGGAGGGAAATGGTAGTGTCCCCAAAAGCATAGCTATTTTAGAGTCACTAAAATGCAATGCCAATGAAAGGCCTGTGTAAGTGTTGCTCGATTAGATACCTTGTCCATAGTGAGATGCATAGACCAAGAAAGCATAAAGTCATTCCAAACATAAGATCCAAATTTAAAGACCTAAGTGCAGACGCACTGAATTCACTTGTGAGTGACACTTCTCCTGTGGGAAAACCAATTAAGCGTTCCTCTTGGTGAGTGGTAACAGGAATTCGTTTATTTATCAATAGTTAATGATTCTACAAAGCAGTGTCTAGGAAACCAGCAGCTACAGAACAAAACAAGAGAGAAAGGTCAAGAACCAGGAAAGAAAGGGAAAAATAGGTGTCCCAGATACATGCCTATATAAGATAGATACTGTAGGTTTGCACCGAGTTTATATCTGACTGCTACAGTAGCCAAACAAAAAGAAGGAAAAAGGAACAGCCAAAGATTCAAAAAGAAACCATGATACAACCAAGGCAATTACAGTTCGTACATGCTGGGCTTCATCCTATAGCTGTCACTTTTAATACCTGGGACAGTTACATAAATAATTTCACCTTATTTATTATCAATATTCCAGAAGGCCTGTTTCTTTTCTTTCTTCTTTCTCTTTCTCTCTTTTTTTTTAAGTTGAGGTCTCACTGTCACTCAGGCTGAGTGCAGTGACACAATCATGGCTCACCACAGCCTCAAAGTTCTGGGCTCGGATGATCCTTCCATCAGCCTCTTGAGTAGCTGGGACTATGGGAGTGTGCCAGCATGCCTGGTTAATTTTTTAATTTTTTTTAGAGATGAGGTCTCACTATGTTGCCAAGGCTGGTCTTGAAATCCTGGGCTCAAGCAACCCTCCTGCCTTGGCCTCCCAGAGTGCTGAGATTACAGGCGTGAGTCACTGCACCTGGCCCAGAAGGTCTGTTTCTAAAATGCATTCTAACCACATTAAATGTACCCTATGTTTACATGTTAGTGATATGTGAAATCTTCAAAGACTAGAATAAAAATGAGTCATTTTAAAGTTAATAAAAAATGAGTCATTTCAAGTGAATCAATTTTATCAAAATGTACCAAGAGGAAACTGAAAACAAAGCTCATTGTTTGTTTACCAAAGCAGAGTATCTGCCCTGGCACCCCAGATGGTTCAGGTAAGTCTGTTCCAGAATGCTCAGTCATCAGAAGAGGCAGAGTTCTCAGAATCGCAGACTTTATTTGGGAGCAAATGCTGTGAACAATAGCTTGAACTTTGGTTGCCAGTCACAAGGCAATAGTAAAGCTACTGAGACTCAGAGAACGACACATTAAACAGTCTGTGGGATAATCCAAGGTCTCCCTAATGAAAGATGAAGTGAAATAGACTCTTGTCTAGAAATTCCAATGCTGAATAGGGTAGAAGAACATACTGTACAAAATCATGTAGGACACGGATAGGTTTTTCAGTTCATTATTATTCAACTAACTCATTGACTCAACTACTTAGGCAAATAGAAAACATCTTTCAAAGAAATGTATTAATTTATCAGAAAAATGACCTTATAAACTACCCCGGAGATGACAGTGTTCTAGTTTACAAGTGAAAAAGCTAAACCTCTTTGTAAATTTTTAAAAAAATTTTTTTCTTCACTGCAACAGAATCTCAAGTAAAAAAGTGTACTAAAATCCCAGACAGCTAATTTTTAGTCTTCTGCCCTTTCTAATAAACTATACTAACCAAAAATTTGTTTTGAGTGGATTAGGAAAAAACCTAATAGATTTATATTTGTTTACCGAAGTGCCATTTCAGAGAGACATGGTATCTAATGGAGGGAATTAATGTCACAAGTGAAAAGAGAAAGAAAAAAATACATATACAATTATTTAATTCAATTGTGGTTATTTCCACATACAAGGTTTCATTGGACATCCCAAATGGAGGTCTATAAATTGGTCTAACTTATGGGGACAGGGTGAGACCAGATAGAAGCAAATCTTCTCTGAGGAAGGACATTTAATTTTGCATCTTAAGTTGTGTAGGAATTAGCAGAATGAAATAAGGATGAAAAACACTTTAGGAAGAATGCACAGACTGTAACAAGAGTTCTGAGTAAGGAAGAAACTTGTTCAAAGAACTCAAGAACAACCGCTGTGGCTAGAAGGTAGCATACAAAGGCAAGAGTGGCTTCAGGTCGCCAAAGTAGGCAGGAACCTGTCGCACCTCACAAGTTATTCTTAGACTCCTGTATGTGGTGGCATCATCAGGGAAGATGAGAAAAAGTTTTTCCCTGACACCATTTACCCCAACTCCCAAGACACTTTCTTGTTTCAGATGGCTCTGGAAGAACAGCTACAGGAACCATATGTATCGAGGTTCCTGATATCAATGACTACTGTCCAGACATTTTTCCTGACACAAGCTCCATCTGCATTGCCTCTCCATCTGTCCTCATCTCTGTCAGTGACCATTCTTATGGGTCTCCCTTTACCTTCTGTGTTGTTGACCAACCACCAGGGACAGCTGACATGTGGGATATCAGATCACAAAATGGTAAGTGGGGATGTAAATGTGCTCATATTTTAAGTTCAAAAAGCAAAACAATGATGAAATCAGTAGTCATTGGGTAATATTTTCTATCTCTTATAATTCTTGCCATATTTACATTAGATGAAAAATATCTTCCATGCACACACTTAGGATATTTGCAAAAAATTTGAACTGAAACAAACGTCAAAATGTTTCATCATTACTGTAATTACAAATAGTAGTGTATAAATACCAGTTTATCCAGCATTTTACATAGGTAGGGCATGCAATCAATGTCTGATCAGTTTAAAATAAACAGAACTTTTGACAAACTCAAGAGTTAGGGATGTCACAATTCCCTATTCTGAATAATTTCAGGTAAGTCACATGGATGTCTCTAAAACTCAGGTATCCCATAGATACATTTACACATTTTCTACTCACTTAGGAGCACATAGGTCAATGAAATTGTTTTGAACAGAAACTATGAATTCAAACTTATTCCTAAGTTTAAACATTTAAATCCAAATTTCCCAGTATTAGAGAAATGACTAAGAAAACTATGGAACATATTTTTAAGAAGTGGTACCACACAGCCATTAAAGTTAGAATTGTACAAAACATACAGATACAGAGGAATATATAAACCACAGATAGTAAAGTGAAAAACAGATCCCAAGTAGCGTGTGCATGTGTACTGATTGTACCTACATAAAAATGTCTGACATTGATAAAAACAAAGAGCAGCCGGGCTCAGTGGCTCAGCCTGTAATCCCGCACCTTTGGGAGGCTGAGGTGAGTGAATTGCCTGAGCCTGCGGGTTCGAGACCTGCCTGGGCAGCGAGACCTCATCTCTACAATAAATCAAAAAATCAGCTGGGCATGGTGGCGCATGCCTGTAATTCCGACTACTTGGAAGGCTGAAGTGGAAGGATCACCGGAGCCCAGCAGGTTGAGGCTGCGGTGGCCGGGAGAGGCCATTGCACTCCAGTCTGGATGACAGAGTGAGACTCCAACTCAAAAAAAAACCCCAAAAAAACAAAGAGTAAACTTCAGATTACATATCATTTTATCTCCTTGGGCTCTTTCTTTCTGAAATGTTAAAAATGTATAACAGAAAACAAAATGCTATGAGAGGACCTTATTTTGACTAAGATACCTCCACAATCTCATATTCATTTTGGGGCAATAGGGACGATTTCATGGGGTAGTGGGGTACAAGCAGACTGCAGGGTTAAAGGGGAGAAAATACTGCCCATCTCTCTGAGGTCACCAAGCTCCTCCTTCGACAGAAGGGAAAAGCATCAATATGATGCAGGGGAAATGCCACCAATAAAAACTTGGTCAAAGGAGGAAATTAGGAAATTTGTTTTTACCATCAAACCTTTTCACTCTTTTCAACAAAATCACTTTAATATTTTAAAAGGCTAAGCACATTAAAGCAATTCCATTAAAATCAAGACAACTCTGAATTCACCTTCTCCTACAAAGTGGAATATCCCATTCTTAAATAATAACTGCTAGTCACTTTTTTCCTCATTTAGATCCTAGATAGTATGATTAAAAATATAAGAAAAGGTCAGGCATACTGGCTCATACCTGTAATCCCAAAACTTTATGAGGCTGAGGCGGGAGGATTGCTGGAGCCCAGAACTTCAAGACCAGTCTGGACAACATAGAGAGACCTCATCTCATCTTAAAAAAATTAATTTAAATAATTTTGTAATAAAAAATGTATATGAAAAAATATTCGACATGGAGGTGTGATGTCACAGCTTTGCCAGTAAAAAATATAATCACATTGAAAATAATATTTCTCAAGCCCTGTTTCAATGTCAGTGCTATAAAATAGAATGAACTTCACCTAATGTGCTGTGACATTGTCTTATCTGATTTTTATGTTGTGCACAAGTTATTAGATTTTGGTAAACATAGCTGGCTTGCTATCTAGCTAACTGAAGGTAATAAACCATAATAATAAAAAATATTGTGTGCTATGGATTAATCAGCTGCTATTCATGATTTAGGTGTGATTGAATCATCTCCAAACCCTCTTTGGATTGATGAATGAATTGCCTAATGTTTTAGGCACTATTTTCTGTAAAAACTCATAGGCAATGAATGGTAGCACAAGTAATTAGGAGAATAATAGTTCTTGGAATAAATTTAAATGAAAGGGCAATTTTGAATAAGATATAAATAACAGTCTTAAGGCGGGTATTTTGGAATCCTAAATAGAAGACTTCCAATATTTTTAAATCAATATTATTCATTCACTAGGCAGATATTTATTGGGTGTGTATTATATGCCGAGTACTGTTGCTCTGGAAAAACAACTAGGTCCCTGTCAGCTTTGTAGAAGAAGCAATTCAGCAAGAAGCAGTATTTTTTGAATAATTCATTATCAATGTAAAAAAAAAAGTATAGGGTGCTCTGTGACTAAGAGGATTAAAAAAATCAAGTATGCTGAGTCAGTGTTGGGTAGTAGTTAGGGTCACCTCTAAGAAATTTTAATTTATTTTCTGTCTCCTCTCTTTTTCAGCTACCTCTGCAATCCTTATGGCTGAGCAGACTCTATCTCCAGGACCTTACCAAATCCCAATCCTAGTGAAGGACAGCTATCACAGAGTATGTGAATTCGCCCAGATCGTGCAGTTAGATGCCTGCTACTGTGACAGCAACCACATGTGCTGGGACTCTAGTGCCACAGGCATCCACAGCGGGGACATTACCAGTGACCCATACGGGACTGTCACTGAAGACCAAACCGGGGTCTCGAATGTTGGTCTGGGACCAGCAGGGATTGGCATGATCGTGTTGGGCCTCCTGCTACTGCTTTGTAAGTCTGAATTAATCCTTGTTTCCAGCGGTTCTTCTAAATAGGACCATAGCCAGATTCACTGAGATGGCCAGGTACATTTAGTCATTTATTTTGGGTGTCTATAGCAATTTTTGAGGGCCCTTGGGAATAAACAGTAAGACTGACAAAGGTATAATTCATCAAAGAAAGTCTAGGGTTAGTGAGGGTCTAAAGATGAGAAATGCATGCAAATCACTAGGTATAATATTTAAAAAGCACAAAATAATTCCTGTAATGGAAATTTCCTTGCAGTGTTTTAAGAGCAGAGAGGCAGAAGCAGTTAAGTGAAAGCGAGAATGTTGGGATAATCTTTTTGGAGGTAGGGGATTTTAAGGTGGGCGCTAAAAGCTGAGGACTTTTTTTTGAGTCAGAGTCTCATTCTGTTGCCCAGGCTGGAGTGCAGTGGCACAGTCACGGCCACCACCTCGACCTGCTGGGCTCAGGTGATCCTTCTGCTTTGGCCTTCCAAATTGCTGGAACTACAGGCATGTGCTACCACGCCCGGTTAATTTTTTGATTGATTGTAGAGATGAGGTCTTGCCAAGTTGCCCAGACTTGTCTAGAGCCCATGGGCTCAGGCAATCCTCTCACCTTGGCCTCTCAAAGTGGTGGGATTATAGGCATGAACCACTGCGCCTGGCCAGGATTTTTTTTAGAAGGATGGTGTGTGGCAAAATTTGAAAGGCAGTCTAGGAGAAAGAAACAACACAAATGCACAGGGAAGAGGGATGGAAGGGCATAGCCCACTTGGGAAATAGAAAGTCGAAAAGGTAGGCTGGGAGCCAGTGGGAAGAAATGTTCATAATATGCGGAACATTCTGAGTTTCAGTCAATAGGCACTGGAGAGTCAAAGAAGACTTGTGAGCATAGGTGGCCTGCTCACTCTAATGTAGTGGGAAGCAGGGGTAAGAGCCTAGAAGAAGGAATTAGTCTTTGGACTCTAGGTGAGTATCTGAGCTAAGACCACGGTCACAGGAATGGCAAGGTCCTCAAGCAAAAGTTTCAAAAAAGGATCCTTTCTTTATACTATGTTTTTTTTTCTTGAGACAGGATCTTACTCTGTCACCCAGGCTGGAGAGCAGTGGATCAATCTTGGCTCACTGAATCCTACACCCCTGAGCTCAAGCAATCTTCCCACCTCAGCCTCCCAAGTTAGTTGGGACTACAGGTGCACACCACCACAACCGGCTAACTTTTGTATTCTTTTTGGTAAAGATAGTCTTGCTATGTTGCCCAGGCTGGTTTTGAACTCCCAGCCTCAAGGAATTCTCTCACCTCAGCCTCACAAAATGTTGGGATTATAGGCATGAGCCACTATACCCAGCCCCTATACAATTTTTTAAATTAGAGGCAAAATACTTCATTCATTTTAGGCTGTCCTTGAAATACTTAGGTTTTATAAGTATCAAAAACTAGGTCCTAAGATTAAAGAGGATTCAACTCGTCAAACTGTATTGTTAACATGTTTTAATGGATTAGATGAATTAAAACAATCATTTAAAGGCATAAAAAATGGCAATTGATTTTTAACAGGTTTTCTTTTTCAAAATAATCAGTAAGTTTTTAAGGCTACACAAAGATTCTGAGTGATCCTCAAAATAATATTAGAGATATTTTTTCTAAATATGACTCTATAGTAACAAAGTTGAGGTGTCAGCTAACCTTTGAGTCAGTGGTTCTCAACCCCAGTTGCACATAACAATCATTTAGAGGTCTTTAAAAATGATCATACCTGGGCCCTATTCAAAAGGAGACCCAAGCCTCAGCATGTTTAAGCCCTCTGCTGAGGGTAATGTTCAGGGTTAAAAACCCAGGGCCAGCAGCATTTTCAGCAAGCTAGCAATAAGAACTTCATGACTTTTTTCTGACCCAGTTAAAGAGAGCATGAGAGTTGTTAAATCAACTTGTAGAATGCAAGGGAGATATCCCTATGGACATGTTTTCGATGGAGAAGCCCATGGTCTACTTTAGGGGAGAGAAGCCGTGTGAGTGAGTCGGTGTGGTCGTGGGGGAGGGGTCTGAGCCCAAACCTTATATTCCCAAAGGCCCTCGAATTAAGACTTTTGATGTTAGCTCCAAGTGAGATTAGGCATTCAGTAATTGTATTTTGGTATTGCTAAAAATATTTCATCTCATGTATTAGATAGTCCCTTTGTTAGAGCCATGCCCACAGGAAAGATGACATCTAAACTTGTAGAAACATAGTATACACTGGGGGGAGCCCCCAAAAATGAAATTATCTATTTGGAGGGCAGGCCCCCGGTACTACGCTTAGAATTTGTTCCTCTGGATCAAACTGTCAACTAGAGTTTTTTATCTGGAAGTTTTGAGAAGGTTGTGTCATGATTTGGGAAGAAACATCACGAGTTGTGGCAAACAGGTGACCAGTTCCTCCACCATGACAATGCACCTGCCCACACCACACTGAGTGTTCAGCAGCTTTTGACCAAAAACAGCATGGCCCCTGTGTCCCACCCTCCCTATTCACCCAATTTCGCCCTGAGAGACTTTGTTTTGGTTTCCCTGGATGAAAAAGTCTTCAAAGGGAAACGTTTGCCAGTGTGGAAGAGGCAAAACAAAAAATGGCAGAAGCACAAAAAGCCATCAAAATGGACGAGTCTGAGTCTCATCAAAAAAAATATAAATGTAATAAGGGTTGGAAAGGGGTCCTATCTCTAGGTCTTATAACTGAATCCTATATCCAATCCTCTTTTCATCATATATTGATGATGTGTTTAACTTACGTGTGCATATTGTGTCTGGTACTTGTAGATGCGAGTTTCTAGATGGGTGTGCAAATACTTATTGATATCCACAGAGATGCTCTATGTGTAAACATATACATATGCCCATGTAGGTATGCATTCCCATGCAGGTAAATGTACTTATGCATGTATATGCATGTACTTATACATACATACACAGAGGCTTACAATTACAAATAAATCTATATGATGGTTATATGCATATGCATACACATATGTAAATACACACACATGTACATGGAAGACTAGAAATTGGAAAATTGGATTTAAATTCTGGATCTGCCACCAAGCAGCTTGGAAGTTGTGGACTCGTGAAAAGACTGGCCCTTACTTTCCTAATCTGTCAGTAAAGAACCTGAATTACATGATCTCAAATGTCTCCCCGTCCAGCTCTCAAGTTCTAGGTGATCTGATGGTTTTATATTTATAAACTTGGATATGTATACTCAGTCATCTAAAGGAAAAAAATATTGACATACATTTGTATTTATATTTTTGGTTCTGAATATAATGCCACCAAAAAAAAAAAAATAATGATGCACTCAACGACTTTCTAAATTAAGCAATTTATATTAACTTGTCACTTTCTTGGGCAGCGGCGCCACTCTTGCTGCTCATGTGTTGCTGCAAACGGAGACAACCAGCAGGCCTGGGAACAAGGTTTGCTCCTGTGCCCGAGGGGGGAGAAGGCGTGATACAGTCTTGGAGAATAGAAGGGGCCCATCCCGAGGACAGGGTGAGTAGACTGCTGCCTTCCAGAGAAGCGTGGGGTTTTGGTGGCAACTGAGCATGTCTTGACAATTACATGCTGCATGATGAACAGATGTCGATTTCAAAGTATGTAGCATAAGGCATTTATTTTTTAAACTTTCTTTTTACTTTTCAGGATGTGTCAAATATATGTGTACCCGTGACAGCCTCAAATACCCAGGATCGTATGGATTCCTCTGGTCAGTGGACACCAAAATCTGTATTTTTTAAATTTTCAAAATTAGTCAACCAGAATAACTTCACATAAACATATCTTATTTTAAAAATATCTTATCTGTCCATCTCTTTGGATAAGACAGTATAATCCGAGGGAAAGTGACATGTTTGTAGTGGCCACTTTATTTTTCTATCTGAAACTATAGGCAGTGAAGTATGCAGCACTTAAAAGGGCAAGCTCTGGAATTATAAGGCTTAGGTTTGGTTACTAGCTCTGCCACCTAATACAGGTTGAGTATCCCTTATCAAAAATGCTTGAGACCAGACACAAATATTTTTGGATTTGGATTTTGGAATATTTGCATTATCAGTTGAGCATCCCAAATTCAAAAACTCAAAATCTGAAATACTCCAATAAGCACTTCCCTCGATCGTCATGTCAGTCCTTGAAAGCTTCAGATTTTGAAGCATTTCAGGTTTTAGACCATTTTGGGTTTCAGAGTTTTGATTTGGGGATGCTCAAACTGTAGTAATAAGTCCTTGGGCAAGATACTTAAACTCATTAGAACTCAGTTTCCATATCTTTGAAACTGAGCTTATGATAATACCTACTTTAAAGTGTTGCTGTAAGAAGTATACACACACATACAGAATATAATATGTATATGTCAAATATATAATGCACACATATATTATATGGTAAATTATATATAATATACATGTGTATGCATGTGTGTGTACATATCTATGTGCTTACATATACCAAGAGTGCCAAAAAAAATGTGTGCACATTTTAAGCGATGTTAACTATGTATTACTTTTAGTTTGCTGTAATCAGAAGTGTCTGGACACCGATGGTAATCTGTCTGGACACCTCCTGTAATTATTTGTATTCATCTTCTGTATATACAATTTTAATACAGTTTTTTCCTTTCTTAAAATGTATATACATTTTTGGCACCCTCTGTACATCTATCATAAAATGTACGTTAGAATAGTGCCTGGTACATGGTACTTTAGTGATTATTTTAAAGTTGTTTTTAAAAAAGAGCAAAAGAAAAGAAAAAACAGCAAGTGTGTTCTAATAATACACTGCAGAACTTAGATTCACACAATCTTTTGCCTCATCAGTATCTTATGCTGTCTTACCTAAGTCCCATGCACACCTCAGAATACTGAAAAATGCCTAGCTATTGGGTAATGACTGCAAGTAGAGAGGTGCCCCAATTCTGGAGGAGACATGAGCTTTCTCAGTGATGGTTCCTTAGTATCTCAAGCCTAACCATTTTTATGCTAAGACCTTTAGGAGGCTGATCATCCCTGTGAAAGCCAAGGTGAAGGAGGACTGTGAGCTTCGGTTTCTGCAGACACTTTGCTGGCCTTGTTCTAGAGGATTTCTCAAGTGGCTCAAGCCCCCTAGGAACTGGCATTTGCTCAGAGGCACAGCTGCTTTTGGCAAACTCTATACCTTTAAGCCCGGGACAAAGTTTATGCAAATGGAAAAAAGTCACATCTGATTGCTGACTCTCTCTATATCGTTAACTTTTATTTTGTCAACAAGCCTGAAGATTATGTGTATAATTCATACTGCTCCTTGCCCAACTTTCCAGAACCTACTCTTTGTGGGTGGTGGTGGTGGTACAGCAGATAGCGCCTGACAATGTTTTAGATGGATAAGAAATACAGGTACCAAAGGCACTATTGCAGGAACACCCTCTCTTTTCAGAAATCTACACCAACACCTATGCAGCAGGAGGCACAGTGGAAGGGGGCATATCAGGAGTGGAACTCAACACAGGGCTTGGGACAGCTGCTGGCCTTGTGGCTACAGGAGCCTCCAGGAAGAGGAGTTCAACTATGGGAACCCTGCGGGAATATGCTGACACCGGTGTCAACATGGCTTTCCTGGACAATTACTTCTTAGAGGTAGTACTCTTACAGTTACACACAAAATAGTCTTGAGACTGAATAATAATAATAACAATGGGAGCAGGCCTCTTCTGAAATATACTCCATTATTTTTAACCCTACCTCAACCCTGAATAAAAAATATCTCACTTCTCCTTAAAACACTTCAAGCCAATCTGCAGCAGTATTTCACATTTAGTTGTCATAAAACATCTGAATACTGTGAAAAAAGTCAACAGCCTTCATCATTCTCCTCTTCCTTTTGCCATGTTTCTGTCCTGTTTCCTTCTGATTTCTCGCTTTGTTTCTCGCTGGCAACAGTAAGGGAGGAGAATGCTCAAGACAAAAAAAAAAAAAATGAGCCTTTACGACCTCTCTTTTCCATGTCTTTCATGTTCTCCAGATGCCTCTAATAAGAGAAAATAAAAGACAAGATTAGGAAAAAAGGGTGTCAAAAGTCTGGAACACAGCATCACCACAACTTGTGCTAGATCAGGACCTAGAAGATAGATCTCTTGTTCCCATCATGGTATCTGTCTATGACAATCAAGGGAATATGTGTATACCTGCTGAATTAGCCAACACACACAATGTCAGTATGCTCCTATTCTCAGTCCAGTGCCTTCTCCTGTAAGTGTCCCTCTCTAAGAAAAGGGACCCAGCAATCGCCCTGCTGAGTATACATTCAAAACAGTGGAAATCAGTATATTACAGAGATATTTGCACACCCATGTTTACTGCAGCACTATTCACAAAAGCCAAGATATGAAATCAATCTAAGTGTTCATCAATGGATGAGTGGATGAAGAAAATGTGGTATATACACAATGGAATATTATTCAGCCATATAAAAGAATGAAACCTAGCCATCTGCAACAACATGGATGGACCAGGAGGACATTATGTTAAGTGAAATAAATCAGGCACAAAAAGAAAAATATCATATGTTCTTACTCGTATGTAAGAGCTTAAAGGGGAAAAAAAATGAACTCATAGAGACAGAGAGTAGAATACCAGAGGCTGGGAAAGGTGGTGAGGAGGGAATATAAAGTAGGGAAGGTTGATGGGTGCAAAAATATAGTTGGATAGAATGAATGAGATCTAGTACTTGGTGGCACAATAGGGTGATTATCGTTAGCAATAACTTATGATACATTTTAAAATAAATGAAACAGTGGAATTGGAATGGTCCTAACACAAAGAAATGATAAATACTTGAGGTGATGGATACCCCAAGTTCCCTGATTGATCATTACACATTGTATATCTGTATCAAATCACATGTGTCCCATACATATGAACAACTACTATGTACCCATAAAAAAAAGAAAAAGAATCATCTGTCTAGAAGTACTGAAAAAAAGACAAATAAACATACAAACAGAAATCATAGACATTGAGTTGGTCTGATAGGGTAGCAGAAAGAGTAAATAAATTTTCTTGTGAATTCCTATTTAGTAAGTTTACTTTGCTTAAAAGCAATTCATATTATCTCATATTCCAGTTAGTCTATTTTATTTCCCATATGACAATACATGAATTTCACCACTGTTCATCACAAAAAACTGCCAAAGATGGTCTTGCAACTGTAAAACTATATCTTAAGACTGGTGGTTACAAAAATATTCATAGAATGTGCGTACGCAGTGTTAATTATTTAAATGAGTGATTGACACCGCTGAGTTCATTCCAGAAAACCTTACATCGGAAGTCTCTGAAACATTGTTGTTATTCCTCCTTGATTACTTCACAGCGAAAGAGATCTCTAATTCTGTTTTTTCCTAATTGTAGAAAGCATATGCTTATGCAGATGAGGATGAAGGCCGCCCAGCCAACGACTGCTTGCTCATTTACGACCACGAGGGAGTAGGGTCTCCCGTGGGCTCTATTGGTTGTTGCAGTTGGATTGTAGATGATTTAGATGAAAGCTGCATGGAAACTTTAGATCCAAAATTTAGGACTCTTGCTGAAATCTGCTTAGACACAGAAATCGAACCATTTCCTTCACACCAGGCCTGCATACCAATCAGTACCGACCTCCCCTTGCTCGGACCCAATTACTTTGTGAATGAATCTTCAGGAATGACTCCCACAGAAGCTGAATTCCAAGAAGAGATGGCACTATCTGAACCCATGATGCCTGGAGATATCATAGTGACTGAGACTTACACCACCTCTGATCAATGCGTGCAACCCACTACTATTATTTTTGATCCTCAGCTTGCACCCAATGTTGTTGTAACGGAAACAGTAATGACACCTGTCTATGATATTCAAGGGAATCTTTGTGTGCCTGCTGAGTTAGCCAACACACACAATGTCATCTATGCTGAGAGAGTCCTGGCCAGTCCTGGTGTGCCTGACATGAGCAGTTCCAGCATGGCTGATGGTTGTATGGGACCTGTGATGAGTGGTAGTATTTTGGTAGGGCCAGAAATTCAAGTGATGCAAATGATGACTCCAGACATTCCCATAAGCCAAACCGGCGACTGCACATCCCCAGTGACATCGCGACACAGAGTAACACGATACAGTAACATACATTACTCACAACACTAAGTGCTTTGTGGTCAATATCCGATATGGTGACCTGACACTTGTAGTTACCAATATATCCACCAAAGACAGGTATTTGGAATTAGAAAAATTCATTTGAAAAAGTGAATGAAGTGTACTTTCTGAAATGTACTATATTTATCATTTTAACAGTCAACAAATATTTGAATATTCTAAGTTCAGTGTCACTCTTTGATTATATATTCTTGAGGATAAATATGGCTAAGCACTTTAGAAAAGCCATCTTTAATTCTTCCTGATTTTAAGTAATGGACCAAAAAACTTGAAGAAAATGTATTGCATCCTTTGATATTGTTTAATAAATAGCACACAACTCATAATTTGAATCCTACAGGTCTTGAGACTGATGGAATCAGTCTTATAAACCAAGATGCTCTTGTTCTTGGAAGTTACAAAAGAATTCTTGTCTACAACCATCAGCCATATCTTTCTTTTCTTTTCTTTTTTTTAAGTCTGAGTCTTACTCTATCACCCAGGCTGGAGTGTAGTGGCCCAATCACAGCTCACCACAGTCTCGACTTCCCAGGCTCAGGCATTCCTTCTGCCTCAGCCTCATGAGTAGCTGAGACTACAGACACACACCACCACACCCAGATAATTCTTTTGTTTTTTGTTGTTGTGGTTTTTGTTTTTTGTTTTTAGTCCAGGTCTCACTATATTGCCCAGGCTGGTCTTGAACTCCTAGGCTCAAGCAAACCTCTTGCCAGAGCCCTCCAAAGTGCTAGGATTACAGAAATGAGTCACTGCACTCAACCTTAGCCATATTTTTTTATAGAAAAAAATTTATACTAAACAATTTTAATTTAAGCTAATGAAATGAATGAAATGTACTTTCTGAAAGGAAATTGAAAAGGAAGATGGAGTATCTTTTGATAGATATCTGAAGTCATTTGTCTCTTCAAATGATTTTTTTAAAGATATGTACTATTAAGCAATAGTTGCTTAATATAATAAGAAAAGAGTTTGCCAATTAAATGTATCACTGGAAATGGTTCATCAAAAGTAAATATATATATAAATTTTATTGCACTTTATTGATGTATATTATTAACTATACTGAATTTAGAATAGCGAAGCATATATAGATAACAACCCTACATTAGAAACAGTTATTAGGGAAAGCGTTTGCGTTTTCCCTTCTTACAAAGAAATTTTCCTTACTCTTCCTCATTATGTCAGAAAAATATATGAAATATTGTTTAATCAATTTAATTGGCCTGAATCATAGAACTTTCATTTGACAACCAGATAGTCTCCAAAAGTAACTCTGTAATTACTTATATATTCAGCAATATTTACTTAGAAGCTTCTAGTTGTTGAGTGCTAGTCTGGGCTGTGTGAATATATAGGTGAAAAAAACAGATATTGTATCTGCCTTGTAATCCATTTCTTGACTTAAAATAAAACTTGGGATATGGCTTTAGGTTTTACCAAGAATAATTAACAAAATAGTCCATTACCAAGTTGTGTTTCCGTTTCTAACACTATTTGTATTGAATAAATGAAGTGGAAATACACACATAGATTGCTTACTTTTAGTAGGCACAAAGCCGGCTTGAAAAAAAACTTTAGCAAGTTAGTATGATTTAATACTGTAAAATATGTATAGAGCAATAACTATAATGTGACTGAGATAATGTAAATGAAATAAACTTATTTTCAGGGCTTAATCCTTTTGAAGTTTATAGTGCTTCTTGTTTATTTTTTTTCCTTTATGAATAAAGCTATCATAGAATTTGAGGAATCTCACATAATCTCTTGCCCAATTCTCTCATTTTATAGACAAAAAAATCTAGAAATAAGTTAAATGTTCACAACCAGCTAGTTGTGTTATAAAATCTTGAATCTGGCCGGGCTCGGTGACTCAACCTGTAATCCCAGCACTTTGGGAGGCTGAGGCGAGTGGATTTGCCTTAGCCCACAGGTTCGAGACCAGCCCAGGGAACTTGGCAAGACCTCGTCTCTACAATAAATCAAAAATTAGCCAGGTGTGGTAGCACATGCCTGTAGTTCTAGCTACTTAGAAGGCTGAGGTGGAAGGATTGCCAGAGCCCAGTAGGTTGATCCTGGGGTAGGTGTGTACATGCCACTGCACTCCAGCCTGGGCGAAGGAGTGAGACTCCAACTCAAAAAAATAAAATAAAATAAATTAAAAAAAAATAAAACCTTGAATCCATTGTTTGGATACCCTTGTCAGTCTGCTTTTCAATACTATACCTTCATTAGATATGAAGAGGACCCAATTTTGCCTATTGCATGATCTTTTCTATGTCCTAATTGGAATAAAAGTATGCCTCAAAAAAATTATGACATTTAAGTGAAGAATTGCTAAAACACTGTTATAGGACAAGATTATTTACATATTTTCCAATATTTTTCAAATTGTGTGTACTTCTGGGTGTTATAGCCATCTCTTACTTTATGCATCAAATATTCTGCTAAATTTTACTACTCTATAATTGATGAAATCCATGGGGTAACTAAGAATCATTGATTGGTTCCATGACTCAAGCAACAACCAGCCACATAGCATCTGAAATACACTCAGTTCTGAGGCAAATCCTGAAATGGACATTTCTGTCTGAAAGTTTGTGATCTATTAAGACAATAATTCTAAGACTCATGAAACATTAGTTGATGATTAAATGTAAAGTGCTAGTAGTGTTAAAACTGAAAACATCTGATATTTAAGAAATGAAGAATAAACAGCACTAGTAAATTAAAATTTTAAAAGGGAGTGAAACCACTTGTGAGAAGGGTAAGAAAATGTTCTTGTAAACTTTTTCTTTGATCTCTGTGTTGACACACAAAGACTTAAAGGTGCTTCCAACAGAGAATATCTACCCCTAGCAAATGCCTTCCTCCACACTGTCTGTGGAAACAAGATCAGAATTATTTTTCATTTCCTCTCAACATTAACTCTTCCACCATGACAAGATGGTGAGTTTCATTCATATGACTTGAGCTTCTGAAATAGTCATATTTTTAAAAAAATCATCTCAAGCAAAAATGGAAAACATAAGCCAGAATTCTTAAGTGAACTGTATAAGAGTTAAGATGTTGATTTGTCTAAGAAGTAAGGATGATAGTATGTTTATGTTAAAGTTTAAAAATGAACCCAGAAGCCCAGGAAATGAGATTTAACAAATAAATGTAATAGCATATAGTTGGAGTCATACTTGAGGGGTAGCAATATTAAATGAATAAATGGGTTATCTTGAGAAGGTTTTATCAGGTGAAGGGAAAGGGAAACATTAAGAACATAGCGAGGCCGGACACGGTGGTTCACACCTGTAATCCCAACACTTTGGGAGGCCAAGGCAAGAGTATTTCCTGAGCCCAGGAGTTCAAGACCAGCCTTGGTAACTTGGTGAGACTTCATCTCTACCATAAATAAAAAAATTAGCTGGATATGTTGGCTCGCGCTTGTAGTTCCAGCTACTCAGAAGGCTGTGGTGGAAGAATCACCTGAGCCCAGCAGGACGAGACTGCAGTAGCCATGAGGGTGTCACTGCACTCCAGTCTGGGCAACTCCAACTCAAACACACGCACACGCACATGCGCACGCACACACACACAGTGTTTGTTCAAGACAAAGGTCATTTTTTTTAAAGAAATTTCCTCTTTTGGACAAGATATTTCTGATTGTAATATACTAAATGCAATAATGTTTTATATATTTCTCCAATAAAAAATATGTGATAAGAAAAAGTTTCCTTTTCTCTTTGGTACATGTGGTATTTCACATGTAAACCCAGACACACACAGCCATAAAATAGAATGAAATCGGGTCCTTTGCAGCAACATGGATGGAGCTGGAGATTATCCTCCCAGAGACAGAAGACCAAGCACCACCACATGTTCTCACTCATATGTGGGAGCAAAGCAGTCACAAAGATGGAAATAATAGACACTGGGGACACCAATAAAGGGGGGAGGGGAGAGGGGGACTAGGGATCAGAAACTACCTACAGGACACCATGTTCACTCTCTGGGGAATGGGCCACCTGAGACCCAATCCCCACCACTACACAATATGTCTAAGTAGCAAATATGCATGTGAACCCCCCAAATCTAAAATTTTAAAAATAAAATGAAATAAAAAATAATAGCTCCAGGCCATATTACTAGGATATGACTCAACCTCCTTAAAATGCCAGCATGAGAAAACTCAAGACAGTCACAAGAATTTAATGTTTGTTCCAGTCAACACCTGAAGATACAGCCCTGTCTCCCTGTTTCTGTGGTCAGATGGGAGTCAGACTTCAATAAGCACCAGTTGGCAAACCCAGATGGGTTCTTCATGGACCAACCCTTCCTTCCCACTTTTTGTAATTTTTCATATCCCCAACTGTACTGAGCATCCCTCCCCACCGTCTCCTTCATTCCACCTTTAAAGCGCCCAGTTGCCAATGTACAAATAACAGTTGAATTCAGTTCATGCTCTTTTTCCTATTGCAATAGCTATTACTGACTAAAAACTGTCCTTACCAAAAAATAAATAAATAAAAGAAAGAAACATGCACACAGACACACGTTCAGAAAATATTTTCTCATCATGTTTCTAGGTAATTATCATCCTTATTCTGTGCACAATACAGGGGCATGAATTCATTTGTAGATTGAAATTCAGAACACATTTGGTTATTCATGGTAGAATGTATCAAGGGAGTCATTAATTTATTAGTAAATGTTCACTATAAAATAACAAATCAATTAAATAAACTCCAGGGATTGTTCTAGATATTGTAATTATAGAATTAAATATCATCTCTTGTCACTGGATTTAACTTCAACAAAATTATTACTATTGTTCTGCACCAGAAATACCAATTTCTGTGGATTTGAGGAAAGAATAATTTCAATCAGAAGAATTGAAGAAGGTCCCTTGAAGCTGGCGAAATCTGGGCTAGGCCAAGTAGAATTGTGTCTCACATAAATGACAAAGGAATAAAAGACAAAACACAGGATATATCAAAGAC